AAAATACATAGTATTATGACGTATTTAGCAAAATTAATGGCAGTGATATTAATACAAATATTATGTTTTTCTGATTTTTAAATTTTAAACATTCAGTCGCATATTAGATTAGTGTAGAAAAATAATACGTTTTTATTTACGAATAAGTCGATTGTATGGTTATTACTTTGTATAAGTTTACGAAAGAGTGCGTCCAAAACAACGTTTTCGTGCTTTAAGCTAGAATCTTATTGCGTGTACATTAAAACGGAATATGATGCATTTAAACCAGAACTTGAATTTGAAAAAAAAATTTGTTTTACGTTATTTAAAATTAAAATGTTATACAAATGTTGAGTTTATCGTTATTCAGAATTAAAACGTTATTCAACTTTTGCGTTTATCATTATTCAGAATTAAAATTTTTAATATATTTTATAAATTATAACTATTAAATAATTGAAAACTAATTATTTAATTTAATGATTTTATGTCTTATTTTATGATATATCATATATTTTTTTAATCGTTTAGTTTTGTGTTATTTAACTATTTATGTTCATAGTTTTCCATTATAATTAAGTTACAAATCTCAATGGTTTTTTTTTTCAAATTAAACGTTATAATCATAACGTTATTATAATGTTTGCAAGCCCTGATTTAAACTTATTTAAGTATGTTTATTATTTAGATAAGTTCATAGGCGTAACTAGATCTTATAGTTAGGGAGTTCTAGCTTTAGTGTTTATAAAATAATTAAATAAAGTGGAGATTTTGCTATTTACATCCCTAACAAACATGTTACCAACAATAGTTATTAATAAATGAAAAATAAATATTATCTTTAATAATTTTATAGTGTGAGTGATGTGTCTATATTAAGAATCATAAAAAAGTGGCGTATAGGAAAACATAAAATTATTAAAATATATTATTCTAATTAATAACTTTCAAGTTTGATTTTCCTAAAATATAAATGAAAGTTAAAAATTTATAAAAGAAAAATTATAATAAATACCCTAGGCATTACAATTTAAGCTTAGTACCTATTGGCTATTAGCAATTTTTTTTTTTTTTTTTGATATGTCTTCGTTATTTAGAATATTTAATAAATTTTTCTTAATCGCTATGATAAATAATCTAGAAAATCGATTTAAGTGTAATAAAGTTGATCTTTAAGTTATATATTCGAATTCGTTTTTTTATAAGATAACTTGTTGGAACATTATAATTCAATAACTAAAAACTAAATATTTTTCCATGATATTAATAGAAATAGAAATCGATATTTGAAATTAAAATTTAAAAATGTCATTTCCCTCAGTGAAACTAAAAACTATGATAGGGGATTAAAATAAAAGTTGGGGGCCTAAACCCCCTAGTTATACACTTATACCATGAGTAAATGTAAGAGCAGTTTAGAGCAAATAATACTAATCTCAATTAGTTTTCATTGTGTATGTATACAATTATTTAATTATTATTATTTTGATTATTATTATTAAATACCTTAAGTGCTACATTTTACTGGGTGATTTTTGAAGTGAGGTTGTTTGGTTTATTTTAACAACTGTGTTTATATTATATATAATATATACTTAAATTATAACCTTTTAATATTTCAGTATAACTCAATTCAATTAACCAATTAAAATGCTTGTTTCTGTTATACCATAAATGCCACATACACGTATAAAATATTTAAACTTAATAATCGTTCAAATGAATGTTTGTTTTCATTTTACATTCAGTACCAATAAACCCTAAACGATCAATGGTTTACAAAAATGTGATTTTTAGAATTGCTGTAAAATATATTCAGATTGTAAAAGTTTAATCGGATCGCTCTTTTAATGATTTAATGTTAAATATATTTAGTCTACACTCCCTGTTCGTGAATCATGATAAGAAATTACAGTGCGTTTTTGAATACTTTTTCCATATATCAGGTGCTTATTTTAACTGTTAGCACTTATAATATCATATAATAATATTAACGTTTCTTTAAAATATTTTCATTTTGATAGTTTAGAATGTTTAGATTAAAGTCTATATATGAATCGATGTCTTTGAAAAACTTTGAATTTATCATTTATAGAGGTATTCATTATTTAAAAAAATGATAAAATGTATACATTTTTAATTTTTATAACTTCGCAGAATATTTTTCATAGATAATTATTTATAAGAATTAAATCTTGAACAAACATTTAAATATTATGGTTATTACTATATTATATCTTATAAGTTATAGATATTTAATGTTATTATTCGAAAGAAGAGAAATGGCAAAAGGCAGTAGTGATCTAATCTACTAGTCTACTTAGCTCATCGAACTTCTAAGTTTTATAAAGTTATAACTTAAAATAAATTAACTCGGTATAAACTGTTTTGAAATTAAATTTGTATACGAAAAAATTCCCAGAAAACTATTTTGATTCAAAATATGAACTTAAAAATTATTATATATATATAATAAAAGTCATTAAAAACTTAACAATTAAAAAATAAAAATAAAAATAAAATATAAATTTTACTAAATACTGGGTAAAAAATATATTTTCAAAAAAGTTAATTATTTTCGTGATAACAGGTGTTTATTAAATCCGCCCCGTATGTATAATATAATATATTATAAAATATTAATAAAATATGTAACGAATATACATTAATTGAATAAATAGTATACTGGTTTATTAATAGATGGTATTTAAAAACACACTTCTCAATTGTTAATGCATACGCATAACTTAAGAAGAAAAAAATATTACCAATTTATCCAGTATTACGGTTTTACCATAATTTGTATATATTTATATATATATATATATATAAGTATTGTTATACGCGTTTGTGTACTGTTGGGTAGTCGATATATTATCCTAGTGGCTGCAGCAGTTCTGAACTTTTGAAAACGCCTTCGGATCAATCGACCGTATACTAAACTGGAGCCAAACTCGTAATCTGTATATAATGTTCATTAATATATACGTATATACATATTTTATTATAGTAAATCATTAGGTATAAGATTTTAGGTAGTAGGTTGCATTTATTTAAAAAAAAAAATAAAAAATAAAATAAAATCGGTTGGCCCGTGTTTGACGTGTCTTAAGCCTAACACGGTTGGATTTGACATTATCATGTAAAAATATAATAGTTACTGAGTTGTAACGATCTTAAGGTAGTGTTGGTACTAACTCAGCGAGAAAAATGAGCTACTTTTACGTACTTACATTCGTTAGAATTGTTTTCACGCAGCAAAAATAATATTGATAATAATAATAATAATAATATTACTTTAAATGTCTAAAATATGTATAAGAGATATAAATATCAATATATTATGGTGTATAATATAATATCATTGATTATAAATATTTATAACCAATAATAAAATATATTTATTACTAATTATTATTAACTAATCACAAATTTTGTTTACAATTATAGTATTTGAATCACACGTCTATTTGCACCGTAAATTAAAAAAAAGAAAATTATTAAATAACATATAATAACAATAAGCTTTTCTCGAAGTATACAGAACATTTCTTTTTTGAATTAGTCGCGTGAACTTATAAGTTATATTAATTATATTATGTTCTTTATTTTTACTTATATTAACACGAATATATTGTAGTAATATTTAAAAACTAATAATTATTGTTTGTTATTTGTTCATAATTGGTAAGTCGTTAATTATTTAAAAAAAAATTGTTTTGATGTGTTTTTCTCAAAAATTATACCCTACTTGCGTTGCTTTTCGAATGATGATTGTCAAAATAAATTAGAGAAGTACACGTGAACTGTTGTGTGTGTGTGCAACGTAAAGGCTACGGAACCTATACTCGTACTATTCCGATTGAAAAGCTATGTAATTTCATTACAATTTTATCTGAGTATAACAAGTAAAATAACTAAATTACTTTTTAAAAGTAACTTACCCAACACTGTCTAATTACGGTATAGACGTAAGTTAGTCCGTGGTACCCGTATTACGCGTAGGGCTAAAATAGTATGATGTAATAATAATATTATCTATAGGTCATAACATAGTTATCATAGTCCTCGTCGAAATCATTATCTATCTATTTATTTTATTGATACAATTCGCGTGTTGACATGTTCGCGCGCGAAAAAAGTTTGGCGTTATTACCGCGATATGTATTTTTTTTTTTTTTTTTTTTAATCTTTAGTCCTTCATACAGACGGCTCGTTGTTAAATAATAATAATAACAATACCATATCCGCGACGGAAAGTGATAATTATGTGTTGTCTAACAGATATCAAGATATAGATAGTACCTTATAAATTACGTTCCTCGCGTTTTCGCGCACACGACGTGTACGACTTCGTTATTTTATGGTGATTTGTACAGTTATTGTAGGTATACATCCACGTTTTACGGCATTATGATACGTTAATCGTAACGATGCCGTAAGCAACCGTTTTTACAGTAATACTATATGATCACGTAATTTAAATAACTTATAATATGTGTACCTTGTAATAATATTTGATCGCGTCAAGATAATCTGCAGCAACTCCACACTAATCGCAAACTGCCTGTAGTAGTATTATAAAAAAAACAAAACATATATATTTTAACAGCCAGTGGCTGTTAATCGATCGGTTTTTTGAGTGTGTAATGTGATTTATGAACAGTAATTTAATATAATATGATCGAAACGTTTCACCAATCTATCTATTCGCCACACTATTACCATGTTTCATTGTACAGGTGTCGTTAAATTCGCGAACACGATGTATTTGTTATATTATATAGATCACTATGCTAAATGTCTTCTGAAACAATAACGAACAAGAAACATTATATGATAGTCACAATCATAGTAATCATAATTATATATTATTATTATTAAACGAGTGCTTGTGAACCAAACCGCGAGACCCTCAACGAGGGGAGGTGCACCGCGTGGACAAGTGCCGTCGCCGCCACCGCCAACACCTATGATGATGCCGCGTTGTTGGCTTTTTCTCAGTCGCCGTTCGCCATTCCTGCGGGACGGTTACAATAATTCGCACGTAGTCGTAACTCGTCAGCCGTGTCCGCGTCATCGTCGTATTGTATTATATATATATATAACTACAGTAGTATTGCGTGAACAAGACATCCGATAACGAACATAATATAAACACTGTAGTTAATGGCACATTTTATTATTACGTTGAGATAACGAGAACATATTATTCAGAAAGAAATTTTTGAAAAATTATTCTCTAGCATCAGTTATAAAACAGTTAAAAACTGTTAACGGTCTAGTCGAACTTTATTTTCCTCTCCCGGACGTGTTACAAAAGAGTTCGCGTTTAAAACCACGAAATATTTTCATATAAAAATGCACTTCACTCCGAAATAGTATATTATCGGTTTTACCGCAATAGTATGAGCTTGATCCATAACTCGGAATATCTCCTGAAACGCTGGTAAGTTGGGTTATAATATTTTGGTTTCTACTTACGTGAAACCCCATTTGAAAGCGAAAGTGTAGGTAATTTTTTTTGTTATTTAGTTGGCGACTTTGATATTTTTAACATAATTTATATCATGACGGTTGAACTGCATGCAAACTAATTATTTAATATTGGTGGTCGAATACAAATTCCATTACTAGAGCATTATAATCTTGGTCGTTTTTTATTTTGAAATGTTTAAACGCAGCCTTGACCGACGAATTTTTACTTAATAGTCTGTATTACATTAACAATAATACAATGATTTAAAAACACTGGAATTATCAGCGTTATAAAGATGTACCTATGTATGTCATGACAAACAACCAGTTAAAAAAGGTTTCAATAAAATTACATTTAGGTAGTTTTTTTTATAGTCATTTATAATTAATTAGATGGGGTTTAAATAAGGTATATATGAATTATAGTGTAATCATGCGATCAAAGTGTAAGATTACGTAAATTTGTTTAATTTGAAAAACTATACAACCCAGAATTCAATTCTGCAAAAGTTATATAATACTTTATAATTGATTCAAAACTATACCTAACAAAATCAAGCACTACAACTAAACACTTATTCAAAAATAACACGTACACTGTAAGTTATAAACACTATATACAAAATAAAAGTTAACGATACGAACATATTAGATAGTCCTAAGTTGATAGGTTTAATATGTTATTCAATATATAAAATTCAAACAAAAATTAAAAGTTAAAGTTTTACATTCATCATTATTCAAATATCCATTATGGTGTTTTATTATAACTATAACAATGGTACTATATTTAAAATAATTATTAGCATTTGTTTTAATGTTTTATTTTAATCTAGAAACTAAATACTGATAAAAATGCTAAAGTGACTATCTTATTTATGATGTTAGTTTATTATTTTATCAAATATTAATAAGAAATTTAAACATATAGGTACAGTGATTACTCGTACAATCTCAATATACCTATCACGATGTACCTGTATGTAATATAGTTTATATTAGATATCATTTATTACTAATTATATTCACTATTAATAAATATTATGTTTAAATTGGTTGTTGCTATACTACATAACGTTCATTATCAATAAATTAATAATGTTAGCATTTAAAGTTAATAGCTATTGATAAACATCATGTTCGGTGAATAATGCATTTATTTATTATGTTAATAGGTACAATTTATAGACAAATATAATATTTTTATTTTTCTTTCTTTTTTTGTAGGTGTGTTATTGAGCCCGTGATTAATAGGTTATTGTAGTGACAAAACTGTTATTTTATAGCAGTAAAAATGTGGTAATTTTTTTCACTATTAATCTCTTGGTTCATATATTTTTTTAAGAATCATATATTTTATTAGAACATGACAATTGATACAGGAATTTAGGACTGATTGAAGCCTATTGATTACTATAGTAAATTTTATACTCAATTATTTAATGATTAACTTAGCTAGTCTTTGGTATATATACTTACAATAACAATGTATTAAAAATATTTATTTAAATAACATTATACTTTTGTATTTAAACTTATTATCATTTATCAAACGTAGATTGCAATAGAATATGTATTTAATATTAGTTCTTGAAAACATTTTTAATATTCTTAATTCATGGTCAATGCATTATTACAATAATATAGGCATACAACTGTGTATACAGTTTATATTATTGTGTACACTTTGCGATATTGCATTGTTATAATTAAGTTACAGTGAAAATTATTTTTGATTATTAGTTAGTTGTATGGATGGTTCTATGTTGAGATGGTATTATTGAATCTATTAACTTATGAACAGATTTAAAGAAACTTTTAGCCACACTGAAAATGTGATTTAGAAGTTGTAGAAGTTAGAGATTTTAGTCTCTAAGTTTCTTACTAACTACGAATTAATTGTTAATATTCTTGAGGTTTTTCAGTTAGTGAAATGATTTCTTTAAAAGATAATTACATGGATTTTCCATTTTCTTCTATATTAAAATCTTATTATTTTAAATTTTAGTTAATAGATTGTAAATTCAAAAAATTAAAATAATATTATAAAAAAAATTCCTTGATCAAGCAACCTATATAAGAAAATTAATTAATCTTTATTGTTTATGAAAATCCACAGCTTCAATTATTCGGTTTCATAAAGTGAAAACCATTCGTTATGGTCAAAACATAATTAGGTTAAGTGTTTGCTCTCTTCAAGTGGGGTGTAGTTTATCATCAACGATACATGTTCATCAAGCACAATATTTTGAATATTATGGTTTATATAGTTAGAAGCATTCCATTAATATATAAATGGGGCTTTATTCAAAATGTTTGTAGTTCTGTATAGTATTTAGTAATCACATTAAAAATGCACTACACAGTATACAACCACCGTCAGGATGAAGATAGAGCTATAAGTTAGCATCGAAATACATTTTTAAGATACTTAAGATTTCTTTTCAATTGAAACGTATTAAATTTCAAAGGAGTAGATAATAATATATTATTATTATTCAATTATTTTTTGTAGAAACAACAAAGACAACACTATTATTTTATCAATTGATAGGAATTTGAATGATGGACGTTATATATTTAGTCAAAAATTATTCTTAATTTTAAAGGATTAAAGACTTTTTTCTATTTGATATACCAGATTTTTTAATCTTTTTTTTACCTTGATGATTATTTTTAAATGACTATTATGTATATAGAACGTGGCGTTCTTTTACTAGCGTTTTACATACCCAAGTATTAATGTAATATACGTGTTATTAGAATTTTTTATTATACGTTTCTACTTTCTTAACATCCTAAAATTAAAACAATTGAATAATGTGTAAGTAATTTTTAATTACTGTATTCATTAAAGTATAATAAGCTATAATTTTTAATCGAATGAATTATTTTACCTATATGTACTAATTTTTTGTCATTTTATATTTTCATAATCAAACCGTGATTTATTCTTAGTTAAAATAGTATTTATTATTAGACATTTAAAATTTATAAATTCTTTCAATTTTTTTTTTGTTCTTTTGTTTAAATATTGCTGAAAAATTAGTACTAGATTGAATCGTCTTTCTGTGACCGACAAACTATATTTTTGAACTAATAAATCGTATAGAAATATTCAAAATGTAGATTATCATTTCAGTTTACTTAACAATAAGTAAAACTTTGTGAACCTATGTTTAAATTTCACTCTTAAGACGTTGAGCAAATGTGGGATTGTACAAAATCAAAGAAATAAATAACGTTGTGGCTTAGCTCAAAGTTTTCTTGTGTCTTAATTAGCAGAGTTTACATGGAGATCAAAGCTCATTGAAAACAATCCTTTCGAATATTAGATATCTTTATCAGATATTTCAGAGTATTAGCTAGTCTAATTTCTGATTGGTATTATATTAGTACGTATATTTAACTTAAAATTGAATATTGCATTTTTTTGTAATTTTTAATAAATCAATATTTTCAATAGTTTTTAATAATTATTTAAAAAATATAAATAACCTATATGAAAAATAATTAGGTACATTAATGGTATCATAGTAGGGCAATAATTCACTTATACCAAACAATTTTACGCTGGGTCAAAACATTTAAAAATTTAATAAAAGGTTTTTTAAAGCTGGTCTTCAACATTCAGAAAATATTAATAAAAAAACGTATGTCTATTTTTTTTTTTCAACTTTGATACAGTTGAATACTTAAAAATGTTTACTATTAATATTTATTCGAAGGAATTTCACGTTTTTTTATTATTTATCAATAAAATAATATATTATACATAAATACTTACATTTATTATAAGCTATTTAAATTATAGATGAAAAGTATTCACTCAGTTTCCGCACAAATTCATTATTTTTCGTATGCAATAGTTTTCTACAGAATTCAAATTTAACTCATCTGATACAATGGCCCATTTAATGATGTAGTACACTTGAAACCATACAGTAGATCAACTTCTCCAATTTTAACTTATTAATAATAAGCACATAATGGCTTACCAATTTTATGTTGAAAATAATAACTAACCTTTAATATAACCTTAGTATACTAGTATGTACTTCAGTGAGTAGGTAGTTCAAGTAGCTCACAAAAAAATGGCCAATATTTGGATGTTTAATTCACTCGTATATGGCCAGTACATATCATATAAATTATTAATGCATTAAAGTTAATTATTTGGACGTTATTATAGTATAATTAATATAATATTATAGAAGACCGTGCATTTTAAAAATGAATAGTTAATGTAATAGATATGAAGGTCGGTCAATTTTGTATAATATTAAAAAAAAAAAATTTTAAGCAGCCAATCAAATTGGTAAAATCATTAATAAATTTACATACATTTAATTTTTTTAATATAAATATCAGCTATTAGAGCAATTCTCTCGAAAGTTTTAAGTGTCAACATTATTCTACTATTTATTTGTTGAGTACTGCAATAATTGCATTGGAATAATTATAATTATTATTAGGTATTAATATTACACACCAAACTAAAATCATTTTTAATAAATCTTCGTTAAAGACTTCATTTTAGGGTGTAGCAAATGAAACATCATCTTGATTTATGATACTATGATATGATTTATTCGGTAATTCGGTATACAGTACAAGTTTCCAACACAGAATGTATAAATAAAAACTAATTTCCATTTTATTATACATAATTCTTTGTAGTTTTATAGTTTCTTTGTGTAATTTTCGAAAGCGTACAAAAAGACTGGGTTTTGTGTCATTTTCTTTTATACAATATGTTTTAAATTGAACGTCTTAAATACATTTCTGTATAATAAACACTGTTCAATTTCATAGAAGTGTAAAAAAAATAAAAAAAATAAAACGTAGCATCCTATATTTTATTTTAACAATAATTGTGTTATCTTTCAACAATATGTTATGGTTTGTAAATATTTAAAATAAGCGTAAGTTGCAGCAATACCACGAAAACAATTGATTTCAATAAACGTTGAAAGGTCTTAGAGATATATCTTTATTAAGTATAAACAGTATTAAACATAATGTATTATTCAGTTATTGATTAAAAGTAATGGAAATTATTTCTTGTAGCGCAAATATTATCTCTATCAAAAATGATTTTATACGTATTTTACCCATATGTTATTAATTATTATACATTGATGGACGCGTTATGCTTTCAATAGGCTTGTGTGTTAAGAAATTATAGTAAAAGTAATATTACACCTTTGATTATAAATTATAATATAATATATTGTCAATTAAGTGTCGTCGTATTATGTTGGCTATGCGTTTTTGGGTAAAACAATTAAATCCTAATGTAATATCGAATGATATTAATTATGATTAAAGGTGGTGGGGCAACGAGGTAAGCGGGCTGACGTTATACAATCTGTTGAAACAATGCATTTTAGCTGCCGTTCGGATAGAGTATTGTGTAAGCACAACTGATCTCAAGTAAATGAAAAAAACATGTCACCTTCATAGACAATAGCTACAAGTTATTTTTACCTTGAATTTCCATTTTTAAGTATGGTAATATTGTATGCAATATTGTATATATTGTATTATTCTATCGTAATAATATCAATAAATTAATTGACTGAAAAATATAATTATGAATTCTTTCAGACTGTCTGATAAACGCGAATGAAACTTTGAAACGCATCCATCACAGTGTTTCTGCAGAGACGTGCATATATGTAACTTAAAACAATACATATTAAAGTCTAAGCATCAAATTTTATTATGTGGATTTAAGATTGTCAATATGAAGATATTGTTTATGTAAGTTCTGAAAAAAATCAAAAAATGATATTTCATCTTAAAGACACCTATTATAATTGCATTATCTTGATCGATATTTTACATTTAAAATTAAAGTAAACAAAAATATGAAATGTAGTTCAGTTTTTTAAACTAAAAAACCATTTTGTTCTTTACAGAATTGAAAATTAATTTCATAATAACAATATGTTTATAATTTTAAAACATTGACTAACATAGCGTGTTTACAAATTTGTGTCTCAATTCGGACGTCGTTATTGCTGCTTAGATAATGATATTATGATATAATATTATTATTTAAAATTATTTTCTAAGCAATTTTAGTACTTAGGAGTTATGTTTAAATAGACGACTACTTGAAAAATTAAATACTTTTAAACCGTCACCGTTTTTGTTGTACGCTTAGATTATATTTAAATATATGTGCAGTATAGGTATACTAACTATTTTTTTTTTAACTTTTATTTTTAACAAATACAATCTATAAATAAATTTTACAATAAGCATGTTTGAGGATTTACTTTTTTGGCATGGTTAATATGATGAAGTAATCACAATCACTCAGCGGTAACACTTATTGGCTAGAGAGTTAGAGGTTAACTAATTATTTATATTAATTATATCACATAGGTACGATTCGGTGAAGTATAAGGTCTTATAACTATTTGTATAGATGTATTTAAAAACAACTTAAGTATGTATTAATTTTCTCAACAGTAATAGCAACGCCGGATATGTAAACAGATTTAATTTGCTAAGATAGTGTAGACAAATGTCAGGATAAGTTAAAAGTACTTTTTATTTTTTCAATCAAAGTTAAATTGGGTTATCTGTTAGTTTTATTGCTTAGAGATTTAAAATGAATATATTTAGTTGAGATTATAATTTTTACATAAATTTATATCGAGTTGTATTTACTTAAGTTATATTTAATTTATACGTTATTTTGATCCTTAATGAAATATGAAAATTTAATTTTTCAACAGTGTACAATTTAGTATTTATAATACAAATTATGAAATTAAAAATAACACTTCTTTTTAAATATAAAATTGTATGTCTAAAAGTAATATTTTTTATTAAAACATACAAGTAAAAATAATAATTACATTTATAATTAAACATTCTTTAACAGGATTTAAATTAAGAAAAAAATTAACTTAACGTGACTATACAATCAATAAGCTTAACAACTACATATTATCATGAAAAAATAATTAACTCGTTAAGTAAGAAGTTACTTTGAAAAAAAGTAAATCGATGAGTAACTTTGTTGAAAAGTAACTTACTACATTAGTTATAGTATATTACGAGTACGTTAGTTTCAAATTGAAGAACGTGTTTCTAGAAATTTTACCTCATAGTTAAGATAAACTCGGTTTGTAATTTGCATTTTCATTTTCATTTTTTTTTTTTTTCATACACAAAAACAATTATTATTTTAATTTTGTTTGAGTAGTTATGTATAATTACATTCGTATTTCAGTACATTATTAAAATGCAGGAAACTTTTTGTTTCATAATTTGTTTTTAATTGTTTAGGTGTATTGGTACAGTAGTTAATTTATTTAAAAAATAGCTTATCAGAAGAATCTCATAATCGTGAAAGTGTAGTTACTCGAAACATATGTTTTTCGAAAACTTATCGAATAAAACCGCAGCGCAATACGTCTATTATAGCATTCGGTTATAAATAAAATTACGAACATTCGTTCTAAATTATCATCTCCTGACGTAAATTTATTTCATTTAATTTTACCATAAGTATATTCATATTGCAAATTAAACGTGTACATATCTATACGATTCTACTGAAAAAACAAATTAGGATGACAACTCGATGAAAAACTAGCCTACGTAGGTATAACAGCTGTAAATGACAGCACTGACGTATTTTATCACAATCTTATGAATATTCTAATTCGTTCTAATCTCTTGCAACTTTTGCAATTTTTTCTGTGAATTAAACTCTTGAGTTATTTTGGATGATTTTCAGTTCAAACATTATTTTGCAGTCTTAAACTTTTAATTCAAAGTTAGTCACATTCATTTAGCTTTTAAATTTGGTCCTAAAATTATAATATTAATATTATTTGACAAACTATTGTATAGAACTGAGAATGAAATAAAATTTTTAATTTATAAAATAAATAAATTATAATATAACTAAGGAAAATAGTTTTAAATAATATATGCATTTATTAAAATAATAATTTTAGTACATTACATATGCGAATAAACTAAGAACTTTAACGTTTAAAAATGAAAATAACACTGAGAAAATTTAAAAAACTTAATTGATCAATTATAAAAAGCATATCATGATAAAAAAAAAAATATTATAATTGATAAGTTATTGATATCATACAGTGGATTTATCAATCACGTGATAACTACCATATTTTCCTTTAAAAGTAATTTTATTCAGATTATGATTTTTATATTATTTATATTTATATTTAGATTAATTATTCTTATAGGCCTCATATTTTTAAACCATTTAATAAAACGTATTTTGTGACGATACTAACACTTTTTGTTGACACAATTTTTTGCAATGTTGATGTGTTGATGTTTTGAAATTAAAATTTGTTTCTGAGTTATTAAAAGATGTATATACATTTAATGGATATTGGATTAAATATATTATTTTACTAGATAGCTAGTTACAATTTTTAAAAATTTTCTAAGTTTACATTATTTAAAAAAATTAAATTATCGCAGTTCTCATAATATTATTTCCTAAGCCCGTGATCCTAACAATATTATTACTTTTACATACATTACATTTAAATTACTCAAAAATTTCTTATTCTTATTTTTATCGATTAGAAACATCAACATTTTCAAAACATTCATCCGATTCGGGATTAATAATTTATCATATACATATTTAAAATTAAATTTATTGCAAATAATACATTTTTATTACATACTCGTGCATACATTTAGTGTTTAAACATAAGTTTAAATTTTAAATTTTTAAACAGTTTTATAATCATGACTGTTGAAATCATATAATTTTAACTGTAAAAATTGTATTATTTATTACATTTATGTATATAACGTGTAAATATTTTAAGAAAAAAGTTTCATCATACATAAATTAATGATAATTTATTAGTTTTGAAAGATTGTATGCAAAAAAATTTTTCGTTAAAGCCATAATAGACTATTTTGAAAATTAAATTGGAAAGCCATAATGAGTAGTATAAAACGAATAAAAAAATATTTAGGTTTTTTGATCAAATTTATCTGTGAGCCACTGTAATATTTCACTGAATTATAGATTTAATTTTTAATATTATGACATTGTCTAAAAACTTATTCAAATAAAATGTATCCAACACAGATAAGTTTTAAACTGTGCATTATTATTAATTATACTAAATTTGTTCAGTTTTACATGTTAACTTTACTTTTTGATATTCTACTATTAAAGCGTTCTATTAATCAGTGATAATTCAAAATTAAACTAAAATGTAATTAGATATGATATATAAATGGTCAGTTTTAGTTTTCGTCAACAAACCATTTTTAGTTAATATTCAACCAATGGATTTGTTTTATTTGATCATAATATTATAAACCAAACAGATGATGTAAATTGTAGTCTATAGTTTCAGTATTGTACAATAGTCTTGTCAAAATAGATACATTAAATTAATTGAATGATTTATGGTAAATAGAAATGATAATGTAATTAATAGATATGTATTAATAGTAGAACATAATGATATTATAAATTATAGTAAGTACATATTTAAATGTTAGACTTTTTAAAACAAACACTTTTTCTGAAAATTTGTATTTATATATATATATATTTATATTATATTAATTGTAATAAGTTATAACTTAAAGTTCTAAAAAACTAGTTGTATTTTTACTCTATAAAATATGTTTGCAATACTAGATATTATATTTATTATTTTTATGTTCTTGGCATCTACATCGAGGTCATTAAACAATAATATAATATTGTATTGGAAGTTTTAAATTTATTTTTTTTATCAAATGTGATAATAGTTTTTAGCTTATATAGCTCTCACTCGAACGCCATAAGTGACATTTTAAATTCATAGAGAAGGATTTTGTTTTATATCCTTTAAGGACCATTGAATAAAAATAATAATGTTTACTTTAAAAGTTTTATTAAATCTATGCAGTTGATTAAACATTTAATACTCTTTTTATTTAAAATAAGCAATTTTTTTTTAGAATTGATCAGGTATAATAAAAATGTTTTGCTAGAAAAATTAAGAAAGTAAATTAGTGTCTAATACTGTTACTGGCACATTAAAAATATTATTTACCACTTGACCTTTTGTTACTTTTTGTTATTCGACATAATACCCGTTCTTTTGATTCATAAATCATATTATGAGAGATAAGTTCTTATAACAATAAAACCAATATGATGTTTACCGAGCTCACTTTATTGTATTTGATACAACGTTGGTCGTAGAGAATTTCAATATAGAATATTGCAGCTCCGGGAACAAATGCAAAATATCAAATAGACATTTACATGACAGCGTTACGTCAGTAATAATGAATTTTGATGTGAATCTTGACCATTAATTATAACATTTAAGTTGATTTCTTATAAGCAAGCGCATTTTCATCTTTTCTTTTAACAGTGAATTTATTAAAATAATTATGAGATTTGAAATTTTTTAGTATCTACAATTATTAAGGGTTATATTTTCAAATATTTAGATTTTTAACATAATTTAAAATGTTTCATGTGGTGAAATAAACTTATCAAACTTGCATATTATAAGTTATAAAGTAGAAAGTTTTATTTTTGAAAATGTTGGTATATTTATTTCAAAATTCGAACTAGTAGATTTTAAGTTATTAAAATACATACATTTATAAGGAATAACATTATAGTTGTCTTGTCTATAAAAATTGTTTCATAAAACTATAAAATAAATAATGTATTATTAAATTTAGAACTTATTACTCAGTCAAATTTACAAAATATAAAATGT